TGCACCAATCAATTAAAATGCTACCTTATGCATTAAATATGGTAAGCATTATATATATATATATATATATATGCCCAGCCCAATCCAAATTCTTCTTTCCCATCAACTATTACATAATTAAATTTAATTAATTAATAGTAGGGATGAGCATAGTAACGGATATGCTTCTATATATATATAGATAATACATAATATAATTGATAATAATAATTTATATATATATATAAAATGCTACCCTATGCATTAAATAGGATAAACATTTTATATTTACCCCACCACACTAGCCCCACCCCATTCCCATTGGCATTTATAGCCAAGATCTTAAAATTAAATCCATGAAAACAACTAATCATTTTAAAAATTTAAATATTACTAATTAATATATAAGTTACTTGACCCTTAAAACTGGGACTTCCATTAGTTTTTTTTTTCTTCATCTACCAAAAGATGAATGATCTTAAATATTACTAATTAATATGTTGAAAAAAAGTGATCTTGCCTCTTCATCTACTTAAGAATAAACCAATATTTTCAATATTAATATTAATAATGAACAATTAATATATCATTCATTTAAATTATTTTCAGTTACCAAGGCAAATAAATTTTCTAATATACCATTCATGTTTGGACATTTATAATTGCCCTATTCGCATTGGCATTTATAGCCAAGATCCTCAAATTAATCCATGAAAACAACTAATCATTTTAGCAATTTAAATATTACTAATTAATATGTAAGTTACTTAACCCTTAAAGTTCTAACTGCCATTAGTTTTTTCCTTCGTCATCTACCAAAAGATGAATGGTCTTATATTATTAATTAATATGCTGAAAAAAAAATGATCTTGCCTCTTCATCTACCTAAGAATAAACCAATCTTTTCAATATTAATATTAATAATGAACAATTAATACACCATTCATTTAAATTATTTTTAGTTACCAAGGTAAGTAAATAAATTTTATAATATACCATTCATGATTGGATGTTTATAAACTGTCATATTATTATTTTTTATTAATAAATTTATTGCTTTCTTTACATGAAGAAGGAAAAAACTAATGGAAGTTAGAACTTGAAAGATCAAATGTCTACTATTTAAAGTCTCTATGTTTATGAGAAAGTTTTTTCACTGTTGTTTTGTTTTAGAGATTTTCCTAAATCCAAATTTTGATTACAGGGTATAGTTGCTTGGATTACATTTTCTCAATATGAATAGATATTTGATTTTAAGCATCAATTTCTTTTCTCTCTAATTATGTTA